GGGGCACCTTGACTTGCCACAAAGAAGATGCAGGAGACTTCGCAGGCTCTTCTGAGAGCAGAAGAAGAGTGTTTTTGAAAAATGGTCCAGTTTAGTGGAAATGTGAACGTGAGCTGGAAACTACCAGATTAGACTCTTAGGCTGTCACTGTGTTGGCTGCAAGATGCTCTCAGTCTCCTCCCCTTCTATATTGTTGTTGTTTAGTCGTTAAGTCGTGCCCGACTCTTCGTGACCCCATGGACCAGAGCATGCCAGGCCCTCCTGTCTTCCACTGCCTCCCAGAGTTGGGTCAAATTCATGTTGGTAGCTTCAGTGACACTGTCCAACCATCTCATCCTCTGTTGTCCCCTTCTCCTCTTACCTTCACACTTTCTCAACATCAGGGTCTTTTCCAGGGAATCCTCTCTTCTCATGAGATGGCCAAAGTATTGGAGCCTCAGCTTCAGGATCTGTCCTTCCAGTGAGCACTCAGGGTTGAGAGAGTCACCCTTCTATATTATGGTTTTACAAATACTGGACTAGTAATTATGTGCCATCAAGCTGATGCTGACTTACAGTGGCCCTTCCAGGGTTTTCTAGAGTACTCTAAAATAGTTTACCATTCCCTTCTTCTGGTGGTGCTCAGAAACTGTGTAGTTTACCCAAGGCTACACAGGCTGGCTGTTTCCTTAAGAGGGGGAAATCAACTCCTAACCTTTGCCTCTGCTGCCAGGTACCCAACTCACTCAGCTATGCAGCCACGTCATACTGGGATGCCTTCTAGGTTTGATATAAGAGCCAATGAATATATATGTAAGAGGCACACATGCTTCCTAAGCAAGTTATATTAAGGCTGTAAAGCAACTTTTTTCACTGAGTGGAGCATAAAGGAGCAATGACCTTCTCTCCTGCAAGAGCTCCCTATGCTCCATTGATTGTATATCTTCCTCCTGATCTGACTCACTCCTTACACTGAAGCCTAGCTATAGTGGGGAGCAAAATTAAAACAGCCCACAATGCTGGTGCTTAATGTAAACTATAACTATAGTCTTCCATGTCACTTTTCAATAGAAATTTGCCCATTAAGGCATGCGAAATGGCTGCCACCAGCTCAGGTCACCTTGCCCAGCTAGCGCACCCCTGCCTGCTATCTTACCATGAAGAACAGCCCATGGATAGAGGGGGTCACATCAGAATTTTGCAGAGAGCACCCCCTTCTCTGATCATGAGCTACTTAAGCTTATAACCAGACTATGGAATGACATTGCCTTTAGCTTCCTACTTAGTTATTTTTCAATCTTCATGAAGCTCAACAGGAAGACCCTTGGTGCAAAGAAACATAGCATTTCCCTCCTTAAAGGTATAGGGGGGGTTTGATGGACAAAGAATGCCCATAAAGAAACAATATGGAGGAAGAGAAATAGATGAGAAGAGGGGACCCCTGAATTAGATTGTTCTACCAACCGTTGACTCTGGCTTCACCTTCTAGTGAACCAGTCCCAACAGGCATTCACTGTCACCGGCAGTGGGAGTAGAGCCAAATTAAGTTGGTACAACTAAATGTGAAAAATATTTTAGGAGCATGGAAGAGATCTCTAAAATGCCAAAGTTCTTAAAAGTTAGAATATATAAAATAAGACTCTTTTTAGCATTTAAGAATATTAATAATGCTGCACACAAAACATGTTTCTTATTCTCACCCAGCCATGAATATATGGAGGAAAATCCATGTTTTTGCCGTCTGTTGCCATTGTTGTTGCCACTGCTACATTATTGTTATTGATATCCAGCATGTGTGGTTTGACATGTTGTGTTGTCTTCTTGTGTTGATTGGTGAATGTCTCTGTGTCTCCTCCATCCTTAGATTTATATATAGTTCTTTCTGTTGTTTTCCTTTCCCTTCCAACTATAAACATTATCTTTTCCAGGGCCTACAGATTAGAGGAGTCTGATGCACCAAATCAATTTAATAGGAATCCCTATTATTCCTGCATCTCCTGAAACCACAAGGGCATGTAACTCAGAATCGGGAAGACTGCCACTATGATGAAAAACATTCGTGTTGTGAGTAAAGTTTGCAAAGCCTAGAGGAAATAAATAAATCAACTTGCAAAATAAAGGATCTGATACACCATGGTACTATAAAATCAGAGTACAGTAGCTACAGAGGGTGCAGGTTATAGGACTTGCAAACACAATCTCTGGTCATATTAACACATTGCAAAATAAATATGTTACTTCATTTCTCTCCCATACTTCAACTGTCAGGCATAAAAATAATTCCTTTTGCTAAGTGGCATTTATGTACAAATAATCTTGCTTCCAGACTACTGAAAACACTTCATTTTAACAATACAATTTAATAACAGTGCAACAGTACAATTACATTTCCAGGATTGAATTTTATATAGTCCCTTTATTATTTTAGTACAGTATATATCACATTCTGACACATCTCATTTTAAGGCAGGAAAAAGTATTTTAAATAAAATAAATATAAATAAATGTCTCAAAAAACAGTGGTTTTAAGTGAAATGATTGCTGTGGTTCAGGTTTTGCAGTATACTGATATATTGTTGAACCACTTCTGTACTACACTGGTTGCTTAGAGTGGGGGAGAGGAAGGGATTGAATCAACAGCTATATGCAACGGAAGCATGGGAAGGCATCGAATCACCAGCTACGTATATGCAACGGAAGCATGGAATACATTTTCAACAAAATATTTTGGTAAATCCATGTCTCCAAAACCTATCACTTATATTCATTTTTGCAGAAGGTTACACAGTGGGTTGACTGGAGCAAGGCTAAAACAGAGTCTAAAGAACAGAGAAGCAGATGGTGATATTGCCAGATGCATTGGGTAGCCTAGAGGAGAAATGCTTCTAATATTACCCATTGTGTGAACTGACTTTTACTCCTGGGCTAAAAAAAGGGGAGGGGGAGCATCATGGCACAGTGGTTAAACTGGAGTACTGCAGTCAAGACTCTGATCATGATCTGGGTTTGATCCTAATGGGCTCAGCTAGCCAACTCGAGGATGACTTATCCTTTCTTCCATCCAAGGCCGGTAAATAGAGTACCCAGCTCACTGAGGGGTGCAACATGTAGCCTGCATAATTAAATTGTAAACTTCCCCAGGGAGTGCTTTCAGCGTTATGGGGTGGTATATAAGCAGCACACACTTCATGTGTGAAACATACAAGTGGAATGGTCTGCGACTGTGCAGTACAGTGCATCAATGTTGAATAAACATCTTGACTGATACATCCTCAAACAACCAGATTGTTTTGGATCACTAGATACACAGCCAGTGGATCTGACTGCATGATTCAGAAAGATTTTGTGTGTGCATGTGTGCATGCTGTGGGGTTAGAATCGACTCAATGCTGAGATTTGCTTCATAGGAGATGAATATGTATAAGAATTTGCTCTGGAAATATCATACATCTTTATGAACTTACATTTCAAACTCTAGGGCAATGTACTGAGGCTGTGTTGAGAACCTTCATGCTATCTCTTAGGGTCTGTTCTTTCTACCACACTACATGATTGCTATGAGACGCGAGTTTGATTCCCCACTATGCCTCCTGGGAGAACAGCCAGCCTGTGTGGCCTTAGGCAAGGTGTACAATCCCAGGGCATCTTCAGAAGAAAAGAATGGTAAACTATGTCTGTGTATTCTCTACCTAGAAAACCCTGTAAAGTGTCGTCATAAGTCAGAATTGACTCAATAGTACATGATTATTATTTATTTAGAGTAGACTTGTTGAAATGACGGGATCTATCAGTCAAACTAATACAAGTCATATTGATTTCAATTCATCTACTTCAGTTGGCACTAAAATTGTATTTAGTTCATTGTCATTAGGAGGCATGGTCCAGCCCATAGGTGTATTCCTCTAGCTAGAATTCACCTGGCAATACAAGATTAGGACAAAGTGGAGTGTGTTTGCTGGTCCTGAGCACTCTCTCCTTCCCCTCTGGAAAAAGGTTCAAAAGCCAGGATAAACTATGGGTACATGGTGTAAACAAGCACAAATCTGTGAAACTGCACAACATCATTCCTGATCACACAGCATATCTGTTAGCCTTGGCTTCTGATGTCCTGGCTACAGAGCTTAACATAAGAAAAGATAATTTAACTAGTTTTAGAACAGCAAGTGTTTTAATCATTAAATCCTGTTATGCTTATGGGTGCTGTACAGGAGGATGTGCCTTTTACCACTTTCAGGTTGGTGTGCCAGCTGTGCCCCCTTCTGGGAAGAGGTGATCTAGCCACATGATGTATTCAACTATAGTACATAATATGTAGGGATGACCTTGCTTGGAAGCTTCAGTTGGTTCAGAATTTGACTCCTAAACTGTTAGCTGGAGCTCATCATCTTGGAAAAATAAACATTGGCTTCCGGTTTATGACCAGGCATAATTCAGATAT